CCTAACTTTGACGTACTTCACACATTGTTTGTCTGTATGTAAACTATTTATTTTTTTATAAAGAATTATGTAAAATTTATAGTTGCAATATTTGTGAATATGTGACCACCATGTATCTAAATAATAGTTTAGTTATCGGCTGCATTGTTTTTTATAACACCATGCGCCTATTTTATTTTAGTATAGTAGTTTTTTTGTTCTAGGTACTTCACGTATAATTATCAAAGCAATGTATACAAAATATTGTAAAACCTATTTTAAAAGAGTAAGTATGGAGTTGCTTGACTATTCTTCTCCATGTGAATATGACTTTATAACCTGTAATTTTGACTTTCAAAAGCCTTTTCAATAGGCCTAATTGAAATAAATGATTTGTATTTGACTTTATTCTTTACTTTTAATGAAATATAGAACATATTTCGACGTCTCTCAATGACCACTGAAATACATTCGTAACATCGTTTACATAACAATAAAATCGCGTAATAGGAATCAGATAATAATAGTTTAATATGACACATTTGACAAGACAGATTAATGGAGAACAGCTTGTTAAAATTTTGTAAAGATAATGTATAAGGGAAATCTGTGTAGACGACGCCAACATCGTCTAATTCATAAAGTGCAACAGGCTCTAGTGGCTGGGACATGTGCACCGAATGGAGAATGACAGCACCCCAAGGTCCTTACTGAACTCACAAGCCGGTGGCAAAAGAAAACCCGGTAGACCGAGGCTGCGTTGGTGGGATGGAGTTGTCAAGGACCTCGAAACAATAGGGGTTCGCAATTGGACGCGGGAAGATTGCGATGGTGAAGTGTAATTGAGGAGGCTAAGGCCCACAAGGGGCCTTATATGAATTATGTAATTACATCATTGATGATAAGGGAAGTCTGTAAAATGTAAAAAAATATCCAAACCTCTGCAATAATCAATGGTGCCAACCCCAACACTCAATACACAACAAGAAAGTTAAATATACTTGTAATACTTGCGTGGAAGTGAGTTCTGCAAAGTTACAAGAGCGACTTTACTTGAGCAAATACTTCACGTACTCTTCGCTGTACAAACACCTAAACAGCAAACTGTTAATGTGATTTATGGATTCAGAATAGAGTGAGGTTGTAAGGAAATACGTCATACGTTTAAAAGTCGAAGTCAAATTGGTTCGCACTTTTGGGCAGCTGGTTTCACATATTAGAACGGGCGCAGCAAAACTGCCTTTAAAAACGCAACGAAGGGAAATAAGCAAGCGTTACAACTGTGAAATAGAAATGAAAAGATGGTAAAAAATCATTTTTAAATAAATCTTGAACAAACAATAAGAAGATTATGTATTACTTACTTATTTTTTAATTTGGTTCGCGGGTGGATACTTTTTGACAGCTAGTCAGCCAGTTGATTGTAATCGATCTCTTTGATGATAGCAACAATAAAAATATAATTTTAAGTCAATGATAAAGTAAACTATTTAGTCTGCGGCCAGGATCCCACAATTGTTGTAATTTTATAATCAGCATTTAAAGACATTCTCAAATATACCAACATGATATGAAAAGTTTATTTAACCATTATGAGAATGCTACATTATTCCCGATGGATAATTTTCTTTTATAAGTAAGAGATCTGCCGTGCGATTCTGTTAATCCGTGAGTTCACCTCGCACTAACAACGCTCCTATCCCTTTTTGGAATCTCATGGTATTCTGTTAAGCAATTTCACATTACGTCTTTGAGCGCGACCGCCGCTGCGAAAACCGCTGTGTGAGTTCGAAAAGTGAGAACAGTTACAGAATGGCAAGGCTGTATGAAAACTTAAATAATGTAACCATGTGAAAAAATACCACACACCTTACTCCATATAGCCTTGTGTTGGCTCTCACCGATGTCAAGTCAGTATCGCCCAAGACTTCCATGTCCAGACAACACAAGACGAAAGATAAGGGAAGAAACTTTATTTATTTATTTAACAAAATACCGTAACAGATTATTCCAATGCGGTAAATATATACATTTATATCACATAAAAAAACAACACAACATAAAAGTAATAGAATTAATTATTTATAAAAAGACTAATTATTTATTACAGAATAGGAACTGTTAAGCAGTGTTGGCCTAGTGGCTTCAGCGTGCGACTCTCATCCCTGAGGTCGTAGGTTCGATCCCCGGCTGTGCACCAATGGTAGTTCTATGTGCGCATTTAACATTTGCTCGAACGGTGAAGGACACCGACATGTCTTAGACCCAAAAAGTCCACGGCGTGCGTCAGGCACAGGAGGCTGATAGGCACCTACTTGCCTATTAGATTGAAAAATGATCATGAAAGAAATCTTCAGCGCTCCATTTGGTAATTGGAAGTAAGAACCTCAGACTCTCACTCCCAGGGTGTGACGATAGCCTACCCTAAGGGCAAACAAATTTAAAAAATACAGGAAACCAACCCTTAAAAAAATATTTTTAAACTTAGGAAAAATAAAATAATGTCTCTTCTACCAATAGTAAATAAGGTTAATTTAAATAGAGTTGGTCACAGAATAATTTGGTCTTTTGAAGTTTAGATTGAAGCGCGAATTCAGTTCTCGGTAACCATTCCAAACTTAAACATTGAAAAGTTCAAAGTTAATTTGAATAATGTACGCTTTGAATTTGACACGATTTTTTTCCAGCACACAGAATCCAGAACCTTACCAAAGCGTGATTAAAGCGGTAAGCCATTATTGTAATAATGTCAGCTTTTATTACACGCTACAAAATATGTCGTAAGTGCCACCGCAATGCGTATCGTGGTAATAATGTATGAAGAATTACATCCATATTGATAAGGTTTTAAATGGTGGCCGACTTTTTAATGCCAAATCTACACTAAAAAGTGTTGGTTTATGAAAAATGTTCACAATTTGTCTTCGATTCACGCAAACATAATGTAAGTAACATAAATTCCTTCTTCTTTAATAATATATTTGCAAGAAATAAGAAAATATATCCACGAAAAAAGATTACAAGCGTTATTTAATTTTCTTCACAAAAGGCTGGTTGAGAAATTATTAATGAAAACATACAAAAATCTAAAGCTATGACTACGCGAATGTACTCGTATTTTAAAAAATATATAGTATTTACAATATTCTTAACCTATATAGTAATAATAATAATTAATAAATTAAAAAAAAGGTTTGGTCTCTGTGGCTTTTATTGATATCATATTCTCGCTGTATTGCGATAGTTATTCGTTGAGCGAGGAAAGCACCAGCTCTGGGGTCATCGGTACTATCAGGCGCCAACTTAAATCTTTAATTAGCTGTGCACTTGAACTCCACGGCCCAAGAGTCTACTCCAATGGGAACAAAACCAAAGTTGGAGGTAAGACTAGAATAAATCTAGATTTTTGTGTGTGCTTTGTTAAATGCGCTCAACTCTGTACTGGTTCGTTTTGAAATATTTTAAAAGTATTTTTACCGAAAAAGGCTTTAGGCGACAGAACATGCTTTTTACGCTGGCAGAATTTCATTTATTATTAAAAGTTAATAGGGACTAGCGTTGTATCAATTTTTTCAAAATTATATTTTTGTAAAGTTTTATGAATAATAATTATAACGATGCATCTGAGTTTCAGAATTTCGATTCCCATAAAATTGGACAAAACACAAACAGCAAAAAATGTAAATATTATTCAGAGATATCATATATATGGAAATAAGCCATGTGTCAGATGTAAGTCAGTGACGAGGGTCATTTTGAATAAGTAATTAATGTATGTACAAATGCAAAAACCCCGGAGCCTGGTTGACGAAGCATGACTTGGAGATCAGCAAATGACTTCATTCCAATATACTACCACGGGATTGATCATATAGAGTCACCGTCACCCTTCGACCTACATCAAAATTTATTTATTGATTTAAGATAATAGAATAAATCAGTAGCGCTACAACCTTTTTAGGTCTTGCCCTCAGATTTCTGTATCTGTTTCATGGTTATTTGTCAATCTACTCCAACCGACTCCTTCGGACTCGATTTTGACCCACTTTAAACGAACAGATTTAATTCAAACTTTGTACACTTATAAAGAATCAGTGACAATATAATAATTTCATAGGTTTATCTCGAAAAAACTATGAAATTTTTTTTAAGTCCACAAAGCAATACGATTAAATTGAGACAACACGTATTGCTGCTAGGACTAAAAAGTGGAAAATAAATATAGTTTAAAAAAACTAAAAAGCACGCTTTTAAAGCACATAAAACTAAAAAGTGAAAAATAATTCCTAATTTAGGCGGAAAATGGTAATTAACAAAAAATACTGGTATTATTGTGAAAAAGCGTGGGGCGCTCTGTGCCATATTTTTCGTCTATCAAGCAGCCTAAAGCAAGCCGGTTTCCTAATGATGTTTCCCTTTACCGTTCGAGCGAATGTTAAATGCGCACATAGACACAGCCGGGGATCGAACCTATGACCTCAGGGATAAGAGTCCCACGCTGAATCCAACACTACTCACATTTACAGCACATTTATAGATATTACCTTTTTTTTATAACTGGAGGCAAACGGGCAAATACTAACTCATCTGATGTTAAGTGATACCGCCCATGGACGTATGGTACGCTCTTTTCTTGAAGGACCCTAAGTCGAATTGGTTGGTAAATACTGCAGTAGGTTCGATATAGTGGTGGTGCGCGGTAGAGACTGCCTTAAGAAACGCTCAGTTGTGGAACGTCGGTCGTCAAGGTGATAGGGATGATATTTTGTATACGAACTACTCCTTTGAACACTCACCTTGGTAAATGCGGTATAAGATGCAGATATACCCCACATCTCTACTCAACGCCACGGTATCAACCCGCTAGGAAGTGACTGGTCGTCGACAAATCCATTGCTGACTGATTAAAATTTATAATATCACCACATATGTAGCAAGCGATGTATTGGTAAATTAAAATACATTTGTTAAAGTGGCGTTTATTTAATAAACATTCTTTTTAACGTCAATAAATTATTTGTTCAGTTCTTGAAATGTAATTCCGGGGCGTACTTGTAAACGCACGTTGTTATTTCATTTCCCAACTGACATTTTGAAACTTCGTGATGATTTATCTGCAAATTTAAATATGGTTTTCACCATTTATGTAGAATGTATATTATATATCCTAGCGAGAATCGTAGGTCTTTATTTTTTATTCAAAGTGGCGTTTGTGTTTTGGATGAGCTTATAAGCTGAACAATAATGTGGAACAGTCTGCTCCTCAGCATAATGCTGAGCCAGGGCCAATTACAACCACAACACACACGCATTACACACTTAAAACGTACCATATTCTTTGAAATATAAAAATATCTTTAAAAAAAGTAAGATGTAAAATGTAAAATGATTGCTTTACAACTGATTTGAGCGCGACCGCCGCTTTGAAAACCGCAGTGTGAGTTCTAAAAGTGAGTTACAGAATCGCAAGGCTGGCGTGACGACGCATGCCGTGGCCACGCTATATGATGGTATATATATATACAGTCTATATGCAGTAGTGTACTGATTAAACAAAATAACTCAAAATCAAACTCAAAATATCTTTATTCAAGTGGGTAACCAAGTACACTTTTGAATCGTCAAGTTAAATTAATCGTAAATTTACATTTACTACCAGTTCGCAAGTCAAGGGCGTAGAGCGGGTAAGAAGAACTGGCAAGAAACTTTCCGCCACTCTTTTTAATCGCCAAGTATTGTCATACAAATTGTTTGAACTGGAGCAATTCAATCCCAAGGATTAGGATCATTTAAGTAGTCCTCAAATTTATAAAAAGCTTTGTTGATTAATTTTCGTTTAACGAGGGCTTCGAATTTATTTAGTGATAATACTCTAATTTCGCTTGGGAGTTTGTTGTAAAAACGAATACAATTTCCATATAAGGAGTGGTTTATCTTTTGGAGCCTGGTTGGTCTTACACTCAAATTAGTTCTATTTCGCGTATTATACTGGTGAAAGTCACCATTTGTTTTAAAATCGTTTATATTTTTTTGGACATACAACAAGGCTTCAAGAATATATTGACCAGATAGTGTCATAATATTTAATTCCTTAAACTAAATTAAGTAGTCACGATTTGAAATAAATTCGTAAATTTTTGTATTTAATGAAAATAAATGTTTATTCAATAAATAGTCATCGTTATCTGGAAAAAAAATCTTTTAACATTATGACATATTATTTAGTTTCTATCACAATCTGTTCTTTTCTGCATATCACTTTTACAAAATAATATCGATGCTTCACATCTGCCAGGCGTCCCGTGACGGGTCACATTTGTTTTTGAAGTTATAATTCTTTAGGCGCGTTTTGAAAAATTTATGAGAGTGAAATTTTACAATGCGCGCCCACCGTGACACAAAATTAACCGAATGAAGTTGCCCACTAACGAATTCTTTTCAAACCAGCCGGGCGCCGAGCATGCGCGAGCGAGATGGGAATGAGACAATCTACAAGTAAAAAGAAATAGGATATGCGTGAAATTAGCAGCTATGCCAAGAATTTTGAATGACCATAATGACCTTTGTAGTACCTTTTAAACAAATAAAGTAGTTTTAATTATTTTTTCAAAGAAATTTAGCAATGCTTTTTCACAAAGACCTATTGTTACTTAGTTAAAAGGTTATGAAACATACCTAGTTATTAAATTGAATGTATATTATAATAAAATAATAAATAATAATAATTATTATTAATATTAATTATTAATTGAATAATATACTAAATATTATTAAATTATTAACGTTAAATATTTATTATTAATTATTTAATATTTAAAAAAAATAAAGAAAGCAAAAGAAGTATAACTTCTTACGCGTGTACATAAGTACACGCACCATTTTTTATTTTTATTTAAATAACTCGTAAAATATATAATATTCAATAAAATCCCTGGTAACAGCTCTCGGCCAAACTCATGTGCGTTCAATTATTTTTTGGCTCCATAATACTCGCCATGATTGAATAAAAACTAAATTAGGCAAAAGTTAAAGTGAATTTGTGTTTTTTTTTTGTATCGCGGAATTTATATTGTATTACGTTTTTAATTAGTCAATTAAAATTATAGTGAAGGCTCAATGCATATCTATTGTTTTTAATTAAGACATCCAATAGATAAAATCAAAATTACGATGAGAGATTTTGGTTAGTGCAGCCTGTGGCACCAGGTGGTTCGGCATCCCATGGAAAAGTCCCAGCATCATCGGAAGGGACTATCAAGACATCGTCTATAATAAAGTCCCTTCCGTGTTAGGGTTATTTTTTTTATGTAATAGGAGGCAAATGGGCAGGAGGCTCATCTGATGTTGAGTGATACCGTCGTCCATGGACACTCACATTTTCAGAAGGCTCGCAAGTGCGTTGTCGGCCTTTTAAAAATACCCAAGTATAAGTAGAATTTAATAAAAAAATTGATTTTTATATTATTATATTTTTTTAGTTTAGACGGTAAACTAAAATCTTTATCCACCTACACGAATGATATTTTGATCATGTTAATCATACTTTTATAATTTTTTATTTTACGAGAAGAGTCTTGGGCCGTGGGGTTCAAAGGTCACAGGAACCAAACTTTTTTTAAATTATTTTTCTTTTTATTAATTTTTATGACTACAGCATATTTGATAATTATGTATAAGTTTTAATAGAAAATAAATTAATACTAAAAATATGAATAATTTTACCTCATTTTCACAATTTTCACCAACACTCTTCATGTGCTCCAACTTCTTTGTGTTCGTTAGAAGAAGCGGTGAAATAATCATTATGAAGCCTTTCTTAGAAAATTTGTTGTCTTGAACAATATTGATCTAAAAGAAATGTAGATATTTTAGTATCTTTGAACATTCTCTTTGATGAAAGATAAGTGTTACGGTCAGTTATTGCAAGTTCATTCATGAAAGGTTAGGTTAGCAATTAATTTTTTGCTATTGTAAGTAAAAAAATAAAGTCCGATGTCCGTCGTTCCACAACTGAGCGTTTTCTAAGGCAGTTTTTAGCTGCCCACTGAAGAATTCCCGAACCAATTCGACTAAGGGCATTCAAGAAAAGAGCGTACCAATTCTCGAAAGGCCGGCAACGCACTTGCGAGCCTTCTGGCAATTTACCATGGACGGCGGTTTCACTTAACATACAAAACAAAGTATTTATTCATCGTTATTTACAAACCATTTTGTGGTCAGGTTGTCTTGTAACATAAGCCTGAATTTCAGCATACTGTTCTTTTAACTTAAAAAAAACAGTGGCACTACAACCTTTTTTAGGTATGGACCTCAGATTTCTGTATCTGTTTCATGAACATTTGTAGTAGGTGATCAGTCTACTGTGCTTGACACACGCCGTCGACTTTTTGGCTCTAAGGCAAGCCGGTTTCCTTACTATGCTTTCGTGACCGTTCGAGCGAATGTTAAATGCGCACATAGAAAGTAAGTCCATTGGGAAAGCCGGGCTCGAACCTACGACCTCAGGGAAGACAGTCCCACGCCGAAGCCACTCGGCCAACACTGTTCCTCTAAATTACCTTTTCCAATAAACAAGTAATAATACAAGAAGATTTTTCTGGAAATGGCGGCTCATTTCTTAAATATTCCAAGTCAGCCTCCGTAGCGTTCACATTTCTCATACACTGTCTCGCTTTTGCCGCCAACGCTTTATAAATTACACTTTTTAAGTGGCTCTCTGGAAAAAGCGTTATGTAGGGAAATTTACTAGGTTTTATTAAACACTCGTGTGGATTATGGAATGAATTAAAACAATGTTACTAAAACATACGTACAAACTCGCATACATAAATAATAATATGTAAAATTCCTTTAAAGACAAATTTGCGCGCCATTGTGTGTGGCAGAATACGACTTACGATTGTACCACCTTACACATTTTTGCAATAAATAAATGGGCCATTCCAAGTGAGGGTGTTCTTGACCCACATGCCATCACATATGCGGGCAATGTGACCGGCCCATTTATCGCACACATACGATTTATTCATTGATTTAAAAAAAGTTCTTTAATTACTACTGCGTGGCTTTTTGTGTTACACAGGGTTCGAATCTTGGTGAAATTTTATTTAAATAAATTACGGATTTATGGAGGGAGCAAGGATCCTGTGCAAGATTAGAAACAATATTAATAAAGAAAAGCTCACTACAACTTTTCATAATAATTTAATACAAACAATAGTATCTAGTTTTATAGTGTAACTCTAAATAAAAAAAAGATGTGGTGTCGTGGGACACCAGCCCTGCGATTCTGTAACTCACTTTTCGAACTCACACAGCGGTTTTCGCATCGGCGGTCGCTCTGAAATCAGTCGTGAAGCAGTCATTTTATGATTTGGCATTCTAATAAACAATAAACTACAAGCTCCCACCTTCTCAGAATGCCAAATCATAAAATGACTGCTTCACGACTGATTTGAGAGCGACCGCCGATCCGAAAACCGCTGTGTGAGTTCGAAAAGTGAGTTACAGAATCGCAGGGCAGGTAGGAACGAAGTTCCTTCGGCTAATGTAGAATTGACACAATTTGCAAATCTCTTAAAAGACTTGAGAAAAAAATACAGACATGAGGGAAGCAATACCACCTTTTCAACAGCTAAACAACGATAAACTCTCTTTCCTTAGCTTTCGTATTATCTTTTTCTGCCATTTTTGGGAAGCGTGCATCGTGTGTCCTCCTTGCCGACGAAGCACAGACTAAAAAATATTCCGCAATACTCGCTTGTGTATACGACTGTCGCGCCTGCGCACGTCTCATTTAACGGTTTTATTCCACGGACTTTTTCTTACGGTTTTACTATCACATTTTTTTCAGTTCGGTCGCGCAGCAGAATCCCTATATCCTCCAAGCCTGCCGTAAGGAACTTCGTTCCAAAAATTGCAACTTGATTGTTATTTATTTTTTAAATATCTGCTCAATTTGTTTTATTTTATAAGAACCCACAATAATTTATTTGACAGGGTATACAGATTTAGACAGCATACGATAAAGACAGGAAATACTTAAGTCATACACGAGTTGAAACTTTTATCATAGCAACATACATACAAGCAACATATAATACAAAACTTACCTTGTTCAGCAAACACGGTTAAAGTATTCAAAAACAAAAGCAGGTGAATTTTATTAATATGAAACATGTTGTACGTTAGAAGATAATCGAAATAATGACACAACTGACGTTGATATAATCTTTGATCCAATCAAAATGATATTTTAATTTGTGGTTTCAAGGTTAATTTTGTAATTTTATTGTATGGTTACGAATGGGTAACTGTCCTTTATTATAAATTACTTTTAAGCATTGCTACTATAAAGCCCACTAACAAATAAATACACAGAGAAAATTTGCTTAACTAAGCTAATAAGTTTCTTGTATATTTTTTTCTTTCTCAGTTTCGTAAATGTTTTAATATTTTTGTATTCCATTCGCCATCTTTGGCCTATACCTTTAGTATAATTATTTTATGTTGTATATAATTTAAGTTAACTTAGCTAAATATATAAGTATATACAACTATGCTATTCAAAGTTTATTTCAATTGTTTAGCTGATATTAAAAAATTAAATTAAATAAAAATGTGGCTCTTCATTATAGATCTGAATTATAAGGTATGATACATCGGGGTTCCCAGCTTTATTTATTTATTTAATTATATTATGTAATCTTACAGCTAACATACATATTATAAAACAAAACACTTAGACAATACAGAAAGCCAAAACAGATTACATATATAAACAATATATACGAAACATAAAAACAAGTAAGTACATTAATAAAATAAATCAGTGACGCTACAACCTCTTTAGGTCTTGGCCTCAGATTTCTGAATCTGTTCCATGATCATTTTTAAATCTAATAGGCAAGTAGGTGATCAACCTTCAGTGCCTGAAACACGCCGTCGACTTTATGGGTCTAAGACATGTCGGTTTCCTCACGATGTTTTCCTTCACCGTTCGAGCAAATGTTAAATGCGCACATAAAAAGTCCATTGGTGCACAGCCGGGGATCGAACCTACGACCTCAGGTATGAGAGTCGCACGCTGAAGCCACTAGCCCAACACTGCTAAGTTCATTAATAGACAAAACTATATAAAGATAACTGAAATTTAACATTTAAAACAACAGATAATACTTAATATTTCAAATCACTGCTTAAACAAAATCAGAGTCTACCCGCCTCTTCAAATACTTTCTCACATCTTCTTTGGTGAGGTGGAAAATATAAATATCCTTATAATTGGTGTCATAGTTAGATAAAACCCGAAACATTGGCGAATTATGCAGGTAATTTGAGTACGTACGAGGCACATCGAACAATTTTGTGTGTCTTGTCGCATAAGGAAGGGGATTTTTTAGAAAATTAACGACAGCAAATAGGGGCTATCTATCCGCCCATTAAGCCATTTGTTATAACAAACTTAATATTTAATTCATAGCTAATATTTTTTTGTTTTTTTTAATTACAATTTACAACAACTTCTCCCAATTGTTTAAAAAAACAGAAAGCATTACGTGACTCGTAACACTCGTGAGTGATTGAGTGTAATGTGTGATTGTGTAACTACATGTTAGGTTCTTAGTATTATCTCCAACTCTGCGTAAGATGCGATGGAGTCGTTTGACCGTTATTATTAAATTGTGGACGGTGAGCGGGTAGATAGCGACAAAATCCCTACTTCTTTTTAGTTACGGCAATATTGCCACTTTATTTTGTTCATACTTATTACACATGTAACCTAACAGTATGTCGTCGACTTACGGGTGCAAAAAAACAACAACAACAAACATTTTTAGTGTCATCCTCGTTTACCGTTTCGCAATCAGTCTGTTCGATATTTCCTTCTTAACTTATTAGGTTATTACCTATACTAACAAAATAAACCCTTTGTTTAATCCAATACAATCAAATAGTCTTTTTCGTGAATCTTAAAAGAGAGGAAGAGAGGTAGGTCCGTCTTATTTATTGTTATTTCTATTTGTAACTAGGAAACTTTCGACCTATGATTAAAAACAATTCGAAGTTTAAAGTACCCACTAACTTAAATTTATATTGATGATCTTTCATAAAAGCTTTGCCAATACAAAGGTAAAATATTATTAATACTAATATACATTGTTTGCCAAGTTTAAAAAAAATATTTCGTAAAATATTCTAAAATATTAAGTTAATTTAAACGCTGTCGATTAGATTATAAATTAATATTCTGCGGAATCCCACAGGGATCGTGTTCAAGCTTCAAAGCCCAGAGGGTAAGTTAAATATAAAATATATTTTATAAAAACTCCTACGCCAATTATTAATCATGAATCATTTATAGGTATTTACCGTTAGTATCGCACAAATGGTCATGGAATTGATTTTCAGCGATAAATTTTATATTAATTGTACAAGTATTTTGGGGATATGATTGAACGAGTGCAAAAGAAGTTCCTGAGAAATCTGTATAAAAGAAGATACAATTTCTTTCCTTACCTCTACCCTACTAAGTTCTTGATGGAGGTGTTAGGGTATAATTCATCAGAGCTTCGTATGGATTTTTCTGTGTCAGGTTTGGTTTAAGCGTAATTAAAAACGAAACGGAAAGCGCATACTTGCGGGGTGAAATCATGAGGCTATACGTTCCGGACAATTACCGCTGCTGGAAAAATAACCTTTTCGCTGTGCGTGCCGCTCGCACTGTCCAGCGACAACAAGCGCCCATTCCTCGGTTACTCTCGCTGCTTAATGGGTTTCTCGACTCTTCACCGGAGAGGGACCTATTTGGGAATCGTATGGGGTAGTATGTGATTTGAGAGTATACTTGGAGGGGACAAGATTTTGTAAATAACTTAATTGTATTTTATGTTAATTTTTAGTCTAAGTTTTGCCATTCATGGGCTGTAAATAAATAAATAAAGTAATATAATATACAGTTAAAGTTTTCACCAGCTGCCCGCTAAAGAATTCCGAACCAAGGCGACTTACAGTTCTTTAAAAAAAGGGCGTACGAATTTTTAAAAGCCTTATGGCAATGTGAATGTCTATGGGCAGCGGCATCGCTTAACATCAGGTGAGCCACCTGCCCGTTTGTTTATGCGATGCGATGGGTGCTGAAAGATATCGTTATTATGCAATAAAGCTGCCCGTTGCTATATACAGGGTTGTCAAAAAGTCGTGGATCAAACGCAACTAAGGGATAGATGAGGTCATCCGCTGCAAAAAATTGTTCTACGGGAGGTCCCTAAGCTCAACCCCTGAAGAGTTATAATTTATTTTGCGGTTTTATAAGAAAATTGACTTTTTTTAATAATTCTTATTAAAATTCGAAAATATCTACATCCTGTATCTTTTTCATAATATCCACTAGATTAGTACTGATGAGTCCATGCGTTAGACATACTATTTATCGTTGTTTATTGAGTGTATTGAAGATAATATTAAGGTAAACGATATTTTTTTTTTCAAATCATAACTTTTTGTTTACTTCGGAACCCGCTGTGAAAAATAAATACTCTACCGAAAAGTGACCCTGTATTACAAGTTTTGGCGCATTTAATAGGGATTTTGAAAAGGTATTATACATGGCCATGAGTCGCTCTAATATCTTTCTAGGACGAAAAAACAACAACAACGA